ATAAAACAATGATACGACTAACCACAATCATCCTGATTTTCATGAACAATATGCAAAGTAAATGACATCACTGTTAAATTACACATATAACGTACACGTCACAAACCTGTCAACATTAAGATCAAACAAACAACCAGCACATTTCTCTACGTCACACACACACACCGATATAATGTAAAACGTCAATTCCATTCTGACTCTCACTACTCCAACAAACAATCCAATATACTTGTGTAGGGAGGGAAGCGTACTATACAATAGCAAATTAATAAACAGCCACAGATAGAATAAGGTGCTCTTAAAACATGCAGTATGTTTTCTATGATAAATATCATGTTATTTACAAATCGTTGTTAATTTACTGCAAACAATTCATTAATATATTTAAGTCATTTTCTTACTTTCAAAAACTTCAATTAAAACCATGAGCCCAATGGTTAACCACGTGACAATCTGAATGAAACTAACCTCTAAAGTACAATGTTGTTGTTACAAGCAACGTAAGTTTATTCCTTTCCAATTCTACTAGATTAGTCCATTGTTAAGCCTAGAATCTGGTGCAGTTCTCTCTTCCTGACCTGTAATGTCCTTGATTGAACGCCCCATAAAGTTAATCAGCTTAATATTATAAGCCTGTGGGTTAAACCACCTGATTTCAGAGACGCCTTTATATTATCCTAAATAAAGTATTCCCCTTAGAGCACTATGACTAATTACTGAATGTATTCATTATATTACCTGCCCTTCCAGGCTATGATTAAACATTGACACGCACACACAAGTAAGATTTAATCTTCTTATACAAAGCTGTAATTGGCAAAACCCCTTGATTTTAGACACTTCGACTTTGGTGAAAGAAATTACCCTTCTATAAAATAACATTAACATCATATAACAAGAGTAATAAGTATAAGATATAACGTTTGATAGATAAGAATAATACACTGATCTAATGTAATGGAAAAAAGTTCCAAAGGCACATTTCTAAAATCTTCTTTAACTGCTACCTACATGCCTGAAATATTTGATTAAATCTGGACACTAGAGGGGAAAAAATCAAATGGTCAAATACTAACATACATGCCTGAAATGTTTAATTAAATCTGGACACTAGAGGGGAAAAGATCAAATAGTCAAATACTAACATACATGCCTGAAATGTTTAATTAAATCTGGACACTAGAGGGGAAAAGATCAAATAGTCAAATACTAACATACGTGCCTGAAATATTTGATTAAATCTGGACACTAGAGGGGAAAAGATCAAA